AACACACGGTGGGTTTAACACACGGTGGGTTGAACACACGGTGGGTTGAACACACGGTGGGTTGAACACACGGTAGGTTGAACACACGGTGGGTTGAACACACGGTGGGTTTAACACACGGTGGGTTGAACACACGGTGGGTTGAACAACGGTGGGTTGAACACACGGTGGGTTTAACACACGGTGGGTTTAACACACGGTAGGTTTAACACACGGTGGGTTTAACACACAGTGGGTTGAACACACGGTGGGTTGAACACACGGTACTTTTAACACAATGTGGCTTGAACACACGGTGGGTTGAACACACGGTGGGTTGAACACACGGTGGGTTGAAGACACGGTAGGTTTAACACACGGTGGGTTGAACACACGGTGGGTTGAACACACGTGGGTTGAACACACGGTGGGTTTGATACACGGTGGGTTGAACACACGGTGGGTTGAACACACGGTGGGTTGAACACACGGTGGGTTGAACACACGGTGGGTTGAACACACGGTGGGTTGAACACACGGTGGGTTGAACACACGGTAGGTTTAACACACGGTGGGTTGAACACACGGTGGGTTGAACACACGGTGGGTTGAACACACGGTGGGTTGAACACACGGTGGGTTTAACACACGGTGGGTTGAACACACGGTGGGTTGAACACACGGTGGGTTGAACACACGGTAGGTTTAACACACGGTGGGTTGAACACACGATGGGTTGAACACACGGTGGGTTTAACACACGGTGGGTTTAACACACGGTGGGTTTCACACACGGTGGGTTGAACAACGGTGGGTTGAACACACGGTGGGTTGAACACACGGTGGGTTTAACACACGGTAGGTTTAACACACGGTGGGTTGAACACACGGTGGGTTGAACACACGGTTGGTTGAACACACGGTAGGTTTAACACACGGTGGGTTGAACAAACGGTAGGTTGAACACACGGTGGTTTGAACACACGGTGGGTTGAACACACGGTGGGTTGAACACACGGTAGGTTTAACACACGGAGGGTTGAACACACGGTGGGTTGAACACACGGTGGGTTGAACACACGGTGGGTTGAACACACGGTGGGTTGAACATACGGTGGGTTGAACACACGGTGGGTTGAACACACGGTGGGTTGAACACACGGTGGGTTGAACACACGGTGGGTTGAACACACGGTGTGTTGAACACAAGGTGGGTTGAACACACGGGGGTTTAACACACGGTGGGTTGAACACACGGTGGGTTGAACACACGGTGGGTTGAACACACGGTGGGTTGAACACATTGTGGGTTGAACACACGGTGGGTTGAACACACGGTGGGTTGAACACACGGTGGGTTGAACACACGGTGGGTTGAACACACGGTGGGTTGAACACACGGTGGGTTGAACACACAGTCGGTTTAACACACGGTGGGTTGAACACACGGTGGGTTGAACACACGGTGGGTTGAACACACGGTGGGTTGAACACATTGTGGGTTGAACACACGGTGGGTTGAACACACGGTGGGTTGAACACACGGTGGGTTGAACACACGGTGGGTTGAACACACGGTGGGTTGAACACACGGTGGGTTGAACACACGGTGGGTTGAACACACGGTGTGTTGAACACACGGTGGGTTGAACACACGGTGGGTTTAACACACGGTCGGTTGAACACACGGTGGGTTGAACACACGGTAGGTTTATGACACGGTGGGTTTAACACACGGATGGTTTAACACACGGTGGGTTTAACACACGGTGGGTTTAACACACGGTGGGTTTAACACACGGTGGGTTTAACACACGGTAGGTTTAACACACGGTGGGTTGAACACACGGTGGGTTGAACACACAGTGGTTGAACACACGGTAGGTTTAACACACGGTGGGTTGAACAAACGGTAGGTTGAACACACGGTGGTTTGAACACACGGTGGGTTGAACACACGGTGGGTTGAACACACGGTAGTTTAACACACGGAGGGTTGAACACACGGTGGGTTGAACACACGGTGGGTTGAACACACGGTGGGTTGAACACACGGTGGGTTGAACATACGGTGGGTTGAACACACGGTGGGTTGAACACACGGTGGGTTGAACACACGGTGGGTTGAACACACGGTGGGTTGAACACACGGTGTGTTGAACACAAGGTGGGTTGAACACACGGGGGGTTTAACACACGGTGGGTTGAACACACGGTGGGTTGAACACACGGTGGGTTGAACACACGGTGGGTTGAACACATTGTGGGTTGAACACATGGTGGGTTGAACACACGGTGGGTTGAACACACGGTGGGTTGAACACACGGTGGTTGAACACACGGTGGGTTGAACACACGGTGGGTTGAACACACGGTGGGTTTAACACACGGTGGGTTGAACACACGGTGGGTTGAACACACGGTGGGTTGAACACACACGTGGGTTGAACACATTGTGGGTTGAACACACGGTGGGTTGAACACACGGTGGGTTGAACACACGGTGGGTTGAACACACGGTGGGTTGAACACACGGTGGGTTGAACACACGGTGGGTTGAACACACGGTGGGTTGAACACACGGTGGGTTGAACACACGGTGTGTTGAACACACGGTGGGTTGAACACACGGTGGGTTTAACACACGGTCGGTTGAACACACGGTCGGTTGAACACACGGTAGGTTTATGACACGGTGGGTTTAACACACGGATGGTTTAACACACGGTGGGTTTAACACACGGTGGTTTAAGACACGGTGGGTTTAACACACGGTGGGTTTAACACACGGTGGGTTTAACACACGGTGGGTTGAACACACGGTGGGTTGAACACACGGTGGGTTTTAACACACGGTGGGTTGCACACACGGTAGGTTTAACACACGGTGGGTTTGAATAACACACGGTGGGTTGAACACACGGTGGGTTGAACACACGGTAGGTTTCACCACACGGTGGGGTTGAACACATGGTGGGTTGAACACACGGTGGGTTGAACACACGGTGGGTTTAAACACACGGTGGGTTTTGAACCACACGGTAGGTTTAACACACGGTGGGTTGAACACACGGTGGATTGAACACACGGTGTGTTGAACACACGGTGGGTTGAACACACGGTGGGTTTAACACACGGTGGTTTAACACACGGTGGGTTTAACACACGGTGGGTTTAACACACGGTGGGTTGAACACACGGTGGGTTGAACACACGGTGGTTTGAACACACGGTGGGTTGAACACACGGTGGGTTTAACACACGGTAGGTTTAACACACGGTGGGTTGAACACACGGTGGGTTGAACACACGGTTGGTTGAACACACGGTAGGTTTAACACACGGTGGGTTGAACAAACGGTAGGTTAAACACACGGTGGGTTGAACACACGGTGGGTTGAACACACGGTGGGTTGAACTCACGGTAGGTTTAACACACGGTGGGTTGAACACACGGTGGGTTGAACACACGGTGGGTTGAACACACGGTGGGTTGAACACACGGTGGGTTGAACACACGGTGGGTTGAAGACACGGTGGGTTGAACACACGGTGTGTTGAACACAGGGTGGGTTGAACACACGGGGGTTTAACACACGGTGGGTTGAACACACGGTGGGTTGAACACACGGTGGGTTGAACACACGGTGGGTTGAACACACGGTGGGTTGAACACACGGTGGGTTGAACACACGGTCGGTTTAACACACGGTGGGTTGAACACACGGTGGGTTGAACACACGGTGGGTTGAACACACGGTGGGTTGAACACACGGTGGGTTGAACACACGGTGGGTTGAACACACGGTGGGTTGAACACACGGTGTGTTGAACACACGGTGGGTTGAACACACAGTGGGTTTAACACACGGTGGGTTGAACACACGGTGGGTGAACACACGGTGGGTTTAAGACACGGTGGGTTGAACACACGGTCGGTTGAACACACGGTAGGTTGAACACACGGTCGGTTGAACACATGGTAGGTTTATGACACGGTGGGTTTAACACACGGAGGGTTTAAGACACGGTGGGTTTAACACACGGTGGGTTTAAGACACGGTGGGTTTAACACACGGTGGGTTTAACACACGGTGGGTTGAACACACGGTAGGTTTAACACACGGTGGGTTGAACACACGGTGGGTTGAACACACGGTGGGTTGAACACACGGTAGGTTGAACACACGGTAGGTTTAAGACACGGTGGGTTTAACACACGGAGGGTTTAAGACACGGTGGGTTTAACACACGGTGGTTTAAGACACGGTGGGTTTAACACACGGTGGGTTTAACACACGGTGGATTGAACACACGGTGGGTTGAACACACGGTGGGTTGAACACACGGTAGGTTTAACACACGGTGGGTTGAACACACGGTGGGTTGAACACACGGTTGGTTGAACACACGGTAGGTTTAACACACGGTGGGTTGAACACACGGTGGGTTGAACACACGGTAGGCTTAACACACGGTGGGTTGAACACACGGTGGGTTGAACACACGGTAGGTTTAACACACGGTGGGTTGAACACACGGTAGGTTTAACACACGGTGGGTTGAACACACGGTGGGTTGAACACACGGTAGGTTGAACACACGGTAGGTTGAACACACGGTGGGTTGAACACACGGTGGGTTTAACACACAGTGGGTTGAACACACGGTGGGTTGAACACACGGTGGGTTGAACACACGGTGGGTTTAACACACGGTGGGTTTAACACACGGTAGGTTTAACACACGGTGGGTTGAACACAGAGTGGGTTGAACACACGGTTGGTTGAACACACGGTACTTTTAACACACTGTGGGTTGAACACACGGTGGGTTGAACACACGGTGGGTTGAACACACGGTAGGTTTAACACACGGTGGGTTGAACACACGGTGGGTTGAACACATGGTGGGTTGAATACACGGTGGGTTGAACACACGGTGGGTTGAACACACGGTGGGTTGAACACACGGTGGGTTTAACACACGGTAGGTTTAACACACGGTGGGTTGAACACACGATGGTTGAACACACGGTAGGTTTAACACACGGTGGGTCGAACACACGGTGGGTTGAACACACGGTGGGTTGAACACACGGTAGGTTTAACACACAGTGGGTTGAACACACGATGGGTTGAACACACGGTGGGTTGAACACACCGTGGGTTGAACACACGGTAGGTTTAACACACGGTGGGTTGAACACACGGTGGGTTGAACATATGGTGTGTTGAACACACGGTGGGTTTAACTCACGGTGGGTTGAACACACGGTGGGTTGAACACACGGTGGGTTGAACACACGGTGGGTTTAACTCACGGTGGGTTGAACACACGGTGGGTTTAACACACGGTGGGTTTAACACACGGTGGGTTTAACACACGGTGGGTTGAACATACGGTGTGTTGAACACACGGTGGGTTGAACACACGGTGGGTTTAACTCATGGTGGGTTGAACACACGGTGGGTTGAACTCACGGTGGGTTGAACACACGGTGGGTTTAACTCACGGTGGGTTGAACACACGGTGGGTTTAACTCACGCTTTCCATCACACTGCCCCAATCTTCCGCTTTCCATCACCCTGCCCCATTCTCCCTCCTTCCATCACCTTGCCCCATTCTCCCGCTTTCCATCACCCCGCCCCATTCTCCCGCTTTCCATCACCCCGCCCGATTCTCCCGCTTTCCATCACCCCGCCCCATTCTCCCGCTTTCCATCACCCCGCCCCATTCTCCCTCCTTCCATCACCCCGCCCCATTCTCCCGCTTTCCATCACCCCGCCCCATTCTCCCTCCTTCCATCACCCCACCCCATTCTCCCTCCTTCCATCACCCCTCCCCATTCTCCGCTTTCCATCACCCCGCCCCATTCTCCCGCTTCCCATAACCCCACCCCATTCTCCCGCTTTCTATCACCCCGCCACATTCTCCCGCTTTCCATCACCCTGCCCCATTCTCCTTCCTTCCATCACCCCGCCCCATTCTCCCTCCTTCCATCACCCCGCCTCATTCTCCCGCTTTCCATCAGCCCGCCCCATTCTCCTGCTTTCCATCAGCCCGCCCCAATCTCCCGCTTTCCATCACCCTGCCCCAATCTTCCGCTTTCCATCACCCTGCCCCATTCTCCCTCTTCCATCACCTTGCCCATTCTCCCGCTTTCCATCACCCCGCCCCATTCTCCCGCTTTCCATCACCCCGCCCCATTCTCCCGCTTTCCATCCCCCCGCCCCATTCTCCCTCCTTCCATCACCCCGCCCCATTCTCCCGCTTTCCATCACCCCGCCCCATTCTCCCGCTTTCCATCACCCCGCCCCATTCTCCCGCTTTCCATCACCCCACCCCCTTCTCCCTCCTTCCATCACCCCGCCCCATTCTCCCTCCTTCCATACCCCGCCCCATTCTCCCGCTTTCCATCAGCCCGCCCCATTCTCCCGCTTTCCATCACCCCTCCCTTTCTCCCGCTTTCCATCTCCCCGCCCCATTCTCCCGCTTTCCATCACCCCGCCCCATTCTCCCGCTTTCCATCACCCCGCCCCATTCTTCCGCTTCCATCATCCCGCCCCATTCCCCGCTTTCCATCACCCCCCCATTCTCCCTCCTTCCATCACCCCACCCCATTCTCTCGCTTTCCATCACCCCGCCCCATTCTCCCGCTTTCCATCACCCCCCCCATTCTCCCGCTTTCCATCACCCCGCCCCATTCTCCCGCTTTCCATCACCCCGCCCCATTCTCCCTCATTCCATCACCCCGCCCCATTCTCCCTCTTTCCATCACCCCGCCCCATTCTTCCGCTTCCCATAACCCACCCCATTCTCCCGCTTTCCATCACCCTGCCCGTTTTCCACTTTCCATCACCCCGCCCCCTTCTCTCTCCTTCCATCACCCCGCCCCATTCTCCCTCCATCCATCACCCCGCCCCATTCTCCCGCTTTCCATCAGCCCGCCCCATTCTCCCGCTTTCCATCACCCCGCCCCTTTCTCCCGCTTTCCAACTCCCGCCCCATTCTCCCGCTTTCCATCACCCGCCCCATTCTCCCGCTTTCCATCACCTCGCCCCATTCTTACGCTTCCCATCATCCCGCCCCATTCCACCGCTTTCCATCACCACTCCCCATTCTCCCTCCTTCCATCACCCCGCCCCATTCTTCCGCTTTCCATTACCCGCCCCATTCTCCGCTTTCCATCACCTCGCCCCATTCTCCCGCTTTCCATCACCCGCCCCATTCTTCTGCTTTCCATCACCCCGCCCCATTCTCCCGCTTTCCATCACCCCGCCCCATTCTCCCTCCTTCCATCACCCCGCCCCATTCTCCCTCCTTCCATCACCCCGCCCCATTCTCCCACTTTCCATCACCCCACCACATTCTCCCGCTTTCTATCACCCCGCCCCATTCTCCCGCTTTCCACCACCCCGCCCCATTCTCCCGATTTCCATCACCCCGCCCCATTCTCCCGCTTTCCATCATCCCGCCCCATTCTCCCTCCTTCCATCACCCCGCCCCATTCTCCCACTTTCCATCACTCCGCCCCATTCTCCCTCCTTCCATCACCCCGCCCCATTCTCCCTCCTTCCATCACCCTGCCCCATTCTCCCGCTTTCCATCACCCCGCCCCAATCTCCTGCTTCCCATAACCCCACCCCATTTTCCCGCTTTCCATCACCCCGCCATGTTCTCCCACTTTCCATCACCCCGCCCCCTCTCTCTAGTTTCCATCACCCCGCCCCATTCTCCCTCTTTTCATCACCCCGCCCCATTCTTCCGCTTTCCATCAGCGCGCCCCATTCTCCCGCTTTCCATCACCCCTCCCCTTTCTCCCGCTTTCCATCACCCCACCCCCTTCTCCCTCCTTCCATCACCCCGCCCCATTCTCCCTCCTTCCATCACCCCGCCCCATTCTCCCGCTTTCCATCAGCCCGCCCCATTCTCCCGCTTTCCATCACCCTCCCCTTTTCTCCCGCTTTCCATCTCCCCGCCCCATTCTCCGCTTTCCATCACCCCGCCCCATTCTCCCGCTTTCCATCACCCCGCCCCATTCTCCCGCTTCCATCATCCCGCCCCATACCCCGCTTTCCATCACCCCCCCATTCTCCTTGCTTTCCATCACCCGCCCCATTCTCCCGCTTTCCATCACCCCCCCATTCTCCCGCTTTCCATCACCCCGCCCCATTCTCCGCTTTCCATCACCCCCCCCATTCTCCCTCATTCCATCACCCCGCCCCATTCTCCCTCTTCCATCACCCCGCCCCATTCTTCCGCTTCCCATAACCCCGCCCCATTCTCCGCTTTCCATCACCCCGCCCGTTTTCCCACTTTCCATCACCCCGCCCCCTTCTCTCTCCTTCCATCACCCCGCCCCATTCTCCCTCCCCATCACCCCGCCCCATTCTCCCTCCTTCCATAACCCGGCCCCATTCTCCCGCTTTCCATCACCCGCCCCATTCTCCCGCTTTCCATCACCCCGCCCCATTCTCCCGCTTTCCATCACCCTGCCCCATTCTTCCGCTTCCCATCATCCCGTCCCATTCCCCCGCTTTCAATCACCCCGCCCCATTCTCCTTCCTTCCATCACCCTGTCCCATTCTCTCGCTTTCCATCACCCCGCCCCATTCTCCCGCTTTCCATCACGCCGCCCCATTCTCCCGCTTTCCATCACCCCGCCCCATTCTCCCTCCTTCCATCACCCC